CTCAGGGGTGGGGGCCAGGGGGGAGGACATTAGGTCCCCCCTTATTCTTGTTTAGGGCCGCCACCCACCGCTCAGGGGTGGGGGCCAGGGGGGAGGACATAAGGTCCCCCCTTATTCTTGTCTAGGGCCCCCACCCGCCGCTCAGGGGTGGGGGCCAGAGGGGAGGACATTAGGTCCTCCCCTTATTCCAATTTAGGGCCCCCACCCGCCGCTCAGTGGTGGGGGCCGGGGGGGGGGGAATAGGTTGCAATAGGTTGGTTTTTTTTTAAACAGTGAGCAGCCACAGGTTGCTCACTGTTTAATAGACATGCCCCTACTCGCAGTATACCGAGTAGGGGCAAAATTTACTAATACTAAGTAATTTTTACTTAGTATTAGTAAATTTGGCTGAAAGACCAAATTAGGTCTTTCAGCCTTTTGGTAGATAACTCCCTAATACCGTGGGAATTAGGGAGTTATCTGCTAAGCGGCTGCAATAGAAGTCCCGAGGTGCCGAAGTCCCGAAATTCCGAAATGTCGAAGTTCCGAAATTCCGAAGTGTCGAAGTTGCCGAATTTCCGAATTGTCGAAGTTCCAAAGTTGCCGAAGTACCGAAGTCTTGAAGTGCCAAATTCCCGAATTGCGAAAATCACGAATTTCGGAATGCCGAATCGAACCTAAAATTTTCCCATGCACATGCCTAACAATAACCAATCAGCATACAGTTATAATGTAAAACACTCCCACACAAACAGTTTAATCCCTCCTTTCTATCCTGGAGATAATTGGGTTAAGTGGCTGTAGTAAACTCAATTATCTCCAGGTACTCCAAAACACTTTAAAATACCTAAAATCATATTTTGCATAACCAAACACCCATAGTCTACATATCCCCAGATAGTTTGGATCTGAACGCCCAATATATCCGAAAAGTGCTCAGATCCCACGAACACAGTTGAATCGCCATGGGGTTGAAGGATTTGACCGACTGCTCTGAATAAGTCTAGCTGTAGTGGTCGGTCTAGTTCATGAGTTTTCATCCGTTCGGAAATCAGTGAAACCATCAAAAATGTGAATGAATCCCCTGGCTCATACTATAGTGATGGTTTGGTAGTTTTAGTCGAACAAACCACCGAACCGGGTTCTCCTAGCTTGCCGCAACAGAAGCATGCATTCGTGTGTTTTGACTGGTGCTCGGGACGTCGAGTGGCTTCCTCAGAGATCCATGCACTTGATGACCAAGTCCCGCTGCCTGCGTTCGTGCAACAAGATGGCCATGTGGCGTTCGGTTATACGACACGGCGGCTACGCAAAGAGAACACTGCATTCTTGTGTTTTGTTTCAACTAAACAAGCCAGGAGGGTGGTCGGTGTTCGGTGATTAGTTTGGAAAATGAAATAAAAAGTGAAAATAGTACCAAATGCTCAAACAAAATACAAAGGGCACTGGTACACACAAAATAGGGGGATTTTGTCACAGATGCTGTTTAAATCTAGGGTATATATCTATGTATTTGTATATGCTTGTTGTTACACAATATTTGTCTCCAATTCGACATTTTGTCAGACTTAGAATGAGATATAAAAATGTGTACATTTAATTTCGGTTATGGGCCTGATTTACCATCAAAGATCAGGATAAAGAATGAGAATTATTTAGTAGCATTTTGAATTTTTCAGATAGATCTAAGCAATACTAACTACTTTCTCTGATGACAAACCATATTTAGTTGCCTTTCTAATTTATTAAATGGGCAATACATGTCTGTACTTGTCTGTCTCTGAGAAGCTGAGCTAACAGTTTGCTCTCTTTACCCTGTACGTATGTTGTGGCTTTCAGCCTTTTCAGCATGAACCCAAACTTATCTAGCTGTGCTTCCTTTATTTTAGTTTGAAATTCGTGTAAGTGTTTGTGTGTGTCTAACGAAGGAGATGACTTGTTGTCTTTGTGTAAATTATCTAGTTGCAGATTTCATTGACTTAGGTTATGAGATGCACGTTTTTTGAGGTATGAGTGTCACATGTTCATCCTCACCTTGCGGTGTCCATGGTGGCAACTACCTTCCTGGCATCTACGCAGATGATAATCAGTAGTCCTGTGCCAGTGTATCTGACTCCTGCGGCATGTTGAACGCCGCTGGCCGCTGCGGATCCATACCAATTTATAACCCCATGTCCAACCACGGTATTGACAGACACGCACGTTCTAGGGTCAGAGGCCGGGTACAGCCAATCAGATTTAACCCCTTAAGGACACGTGACATGTGTGACATGTCATGATTCCCTTTTATTCCAGAAGTTTGGTCCTTAAGGGGTTAAAGGAGACTTATTTAAACTCCTTTTTGCTTTTCCTCATTGCCCTGTCATGGTTTCCCTCAGTAGGTTATCCAAAAGTGTGTTCCTGAGCATTTATTTCTGGTTATTGACTTTGGCTTCATTTGACTTCCCTGTATTCTGGTATCCTTGACTTTTGGCTTTCCCTCATCGTTGTGTCTCATTCTGTGTCCCCGACCTCGGCAAGTTTCTGACTATTCTCTGGTACGTTAAGTCCAGCCATTCTAACAACCGGTAAGATGTTACCTTTAGTCCTAGGTGTGATACAGTTCTGCGTGATGGATCAACTAGTATCGTGACAATGAGACCTTTATCACTGCTTTGTGTACCAACCATAGCATATGGAGGTTTTGTACTCTCGTTCAGTCGCCATGGGTTTCTATTTTTGTATTCATAGTTATTTTTGAGTGTTAATTTAACTGCTCTGTGGTCTGAGCACTCTGTGGGTTCAATCGAGCAATCTAGAACCAGGGAGTGTGGAGTCGTGTATGAGATAGCCGTCTATCCTTGAGTCTTGAGTAGCTGTGTACTCTCGAATGGTGTGTATAGTCCTTGTCTCTGGGGTGTATTTCTCTCCAAATGTTATGTAGGCTATGGGAGGTTATCAATATAGTAAGGGCTTTGCATTGTTTTTTGAGAGAGTCATAGTTCGGAGATTTGGGGGACCTGGTAGCGTCTAAAGCTGGGTTGAAAATGTGGTTAAAATCACATAATGAGAACTCCCTTTCTCAATTTTTCCACCTTAGAGAATATACTATGAAGAAAGTTCCTTTGGTTGGTGTTGGTGTTTAACTATGGTGTAATCTAGGGCATTGATGGCGCATTGCCAGATTGCATATCTCCCTCCAGGGTCTGTAGTTTGAGTGTGGGACACCACTGCCAGGTCCTTGCTAAGAAGTATTGGTACCCCTTTGGACTTATGTGGAGATGTGGTGTGTAATTGGTGTGGGTAGTTTTGGAGACCCATTGTTGGGAAGGTGCTCGAGCAAAGTGCGTCTCTTGGAGACAGATGATATCGGCTTGTGTAGTTTTGAGACTTTTGAGTAGGACATGTCTTTTATAGGGAATATTCAGACGTTGTACATTGTGTGAGTATATTTTCATACCGGTGTACAAGGAGTGGGGTACTGCATGATGTGCGCCTTGCCTCGGTGGGCCAGGTATTTGGGACCTTTTGCTAGGTTGTGGAGGGTTTCCTCGGAGGTGAGATGTGTGGCCTAGGCACATCGCTGGTTACATATTTGAGGGGAACTCTGTCCGAATAGTGAATGCAGTGAGTGTCAGGTTGTTGCACAGTTGTGCTAGTTTGAGAAGGTGATGATGTGGTGAGACATAGTCATATGTGAAGGTACAATAATTAACAACATTAAAAACAAACATAACATAAAATAACATAACCATAAGGACCGGCATGGTCCAACTAAGTATTTTATCTAACTTTGTGTCCAAAGTTAGTGTCTTGCTAGTGTGAATATTGAGAAAGTGCCTTAGTCCCCCCAGCCACCATCTTATTATTATATAAACCATGTTTGTCCTCTGTGTGACTCTATGTGCTTGAAAGGTTAAGTGTGGATGTGCATGTGCTTTAATTGCTCCAAGTAGTGTTATAAGAAACTGGTTTATCTATTCAATTATCGGAATGGAAGCAGGTAAAGGTGAGTTATCAGAAGTGATTGATTCAGAAGTAGACTGAACTGACCATAGTAGGATGAGTAGGCTTAGAAGCAACTAATTACAGTGTACTGTGTTTTTATTGCATACATCAAGATACTGACCTGTTGTCACTATGCTGTTTCTGGCACGTATGCTGTGTTGTTTAACTGTATATAAGATATTTGTTTTTCATATAGAGGAAGGGCAGTCTTCTTTGACACTCTCCTTGTGCACAAGCAATAAAGGAATTTATGCTTATTCAACTCTTGTGTAAAGAACCCGTGCTTTATGTTAATAAGCAATTCACACTAGCTCTGTCAATAGGGGGTGAAAGGGGTCAGGTCGAACTGCACAGCCCCCGTTTGCAGCATCCCTGACCCCGGCTCTAGGACCTCTCACCTTAGGTGGAATTTAGCCATAGTGATAACCTATATTCTGGGATCATGGGTGTATGAACCCTTTAACCCATGTATTCTAAAACTTGTGATGTCCCAATTATATACAAGAATCCCGCTGGCTATGCTGTAAGCCTGCAGTAGGTCGGTGGTGGTTCAAAGTTAGGTGGGGGGTAATGTATAGTTACTCCCTTTAGTGTTACTTTACAGGCCCTGGGATAGACACGCTGATATTTACCCGTTGTCCTGCTCTATTAGGTGAGGTGGTATCCAATTCTAAGCTTTTGGAGAGGTCGGGTGTTGTGACATAGAATCTGTACAAATCTTAGCTACTTAACCCATTCATACCCCTTCATAAACGTAATACCGCAGTTACAGTAAACCCAGGTCCATCTGAGCTGGCTAGACGTGTCTGTATAACCATTCCATGAAACAGATATATGAGATGTCAGTCCCAGTACATTACCCCCATCTGGATCTGAGGCCTGTCTGAATGAGTTGGCAAAGTCCATCATGAGACTTATATTGTACATGATCCAATCTTTTCAGCCATTCTGGGGGAGTCCGGATGATCATGCAGGAGTCTCCATTCATTAAGACCTCATCTTTTGGGGGCAAATGCGTTGCTGGATATTAACTCTCATCTCACTCTTCTATGCATTTTCGGGTGTCGGATGGTGTGCCACTCTTGGGGGATCTCAGCACTCCGTTTTGTGTTGTCACCCAGAGCTTTTGTAAGGTAGCCCCATTGCCTTAGCAGGCGGGTGCCCGCTGTGACAGCCGAGACAGCTTGTAACTTGCCATCTCTGTTAATCAGAAGTTTTGCGGGGAATCCCCAACGGTATGGGATTCTGCTGTTCCTCGGTTCGGTCATTACTTCCCGGAAGGCTCGCCTTCTGTGAAGTGTTTCTGCTGACAGGACTGCATACACTTGGATGTATGGTTCTGTTGTGTCCTGTTTAGATCCCACAATAGTTTCCTTCACATGGAAGTAGTGCATTTTGGCCAGCACATCTCTGGGGGTGGTAACCGGTAGGTGCTTTGCGACCTGGTGAGCTCTATCCATAAAAAGCATGGGGGTTTGTATGTCCGGGGCTAAGGCCTGGAATAGCCTGGTCAGGAATGTCATAAGGTCTGCAGGAGGTATCTCTTCCGGGATCCCCCTAATGCATAGGTTTGTGCGGTGTGACCTGTCCTCTAGGTCCATCTATTTCAATTCCTGCCTCTCCAGCTTGGCTTCTAATAGCTGTTATGGGCATCGTTATATTCCGCCATTTTATTCTCTATTTGAGCCGTGCGGTTTCCCAGGTCTCTGTCTTTCTGCAAGTCTGCGATCGCTGTGCATTTTTTGGAATAGGTCACCGTGTGTGTGCATGGTGTCCTGTGGAGATTGCAGCCTTGAGGCATCTCTGTCGTCTCCACTATGGTTGCTATCTTGGGCCTGCAGCATGGCGGTTCTGGTATTCGCAGATTTAGCTGTGAAGAAGGAGTCTTTGTCCTTTGATTCCGCGGTTTTCTGTGTCCCCCTTTGTGACATGGCGGGCACAACAAATATGCTGGTTATGCTGTTGTTTTTTTTTAATCTTTATTTTGTGAAGTTTTAATGACAATAGTTATGCATAACATGTCGTACAAGTGAGCTTTCATACAAGTTGGTTAACAGAAGGAAAGGATTGACAAGTCATTCATGGTTCCTCTTGATGGACAAAATGGTAGACATCAGCTTTGCCCCCTTTTCCTGCTATTGCGCTTTTTGCGGCTAATGCTATTTTTTGTGATCAACTTATTTTGTGCCCTAGGTGTATTTGTGATTGGTTTTGAAAGTAGCCAAGTCCACAGGGGGTAAGGTAGCATCTGAATAGGGCTTTATAAGCTTGTTCCTTATGGGTGACACAGATAGAAATTGTTGCGGTAGCTTCCCAGATGTCTTTCCATGTCATGGTCCTCTGCAGGTCCCAGGTCCCTTTCCCAAGCCGACATGTAAGAGAGTGCACCCTTGGTGGGGGAGCTAATGATTATGGAGTAAATTGTGGAGATTTGTCCATATTAGGGAGTGTATTCTTGTTTTTTCAAGGAAGGTCTGTGTGCTTGTGCCAGCTTGTTTATTGGTGGGGATCTTCAGGAAGCTTCAGATTTGAAGGTATCTGAAGTGGTCAAATGTTGTAAGTGGAGTGCTTTGGGGTAAGTCTGAGAAAGGGATCAGTTGTTGGTCGCGGAAGAAGTCTCACTAAGTTGTTGACCTCGAAGCGGGCAAAGTCTTCGGGTGACATGCCCGGGGGGGAAAAGTGTATTGCGTAGGGGAAGGGGTAGAGACCAGGGAGTGTTTTGTCATTATTTTGTCCCAGATTCTAATGGAGGTGTGTAGGGCTGGTGTGGTGACCATAGGGTGTCGCATTTCGGGATCCAGATGTACAGAGATGAAAGTCTCTTCCAAAGATTATGTGTTCCAAATCCACTCATCTCTTGATCCCATATGGGGCATGGAGATGTTGCACCTGGGTCATTTGGGTGGCAAGGAAGTAAGGCATGAAGGAGGGAGGGGAGTCCTAGGCCATCCACTCTGTTTGGGACGTATATGGTGTTCCTTTTGATTCTGGCTCATTTGTTGGCCCATATTAATTTATCTATGTTTGTTTGCAGTGTTTTGCAGTCGGGGATTGAGATTAATTGGTAGGGCCTGAAACAGATAATAGAATTTGGGGAGAATGGTCATCTTCACTGAGGCTAGTCTCCCCATCTGTGTTTTCAGGTCTTGGTCAGTCTTGTGTATTTGAGGTCGTAGCTTTGTGTTAGGTCGGCTGGGAAGTGGGTACCCAGATATTGAATGTCTGTGGCTTGGAAGTTAAAGGGATATTTTTAAGAATTCAGATGTGGGCATTGGTGAGGTTCAGTGGTAATACTTGTCAATGTTTAATTTGTATCCGGAGACTGCCGCCTAGTCCTGTAATGCGTTGGGTCATGGAGTATAGGGGATCTGTAATTGTCAACAGGAGGTTGTCCGCACGGTGGTCTGTTTTGAATTCTTTGTTGCGGATTTTGAGTCCTGTAATGTGTGGGTTGGTCCTAATCATATGGAGGAACGGTTCGAAGGAAAGGGCGAAGAGGATGGGGGATAAAGGGCAGCCCTGTTGTGTGCTGTTACGTATTCGGAAAGAGGGTGGTTGGGTAAGTGGGAGTAATAGGTGTGCTGTCACTGTCGAGTATATCATGTGGAGCACATGCCGGAATGGTTGGGGAAAACTTTATGTAGGGTGGCGAATAGAAATGGCCAGAGCAGTTGGTAGAATGCCTTCTCGGCGTTGAGCGATAGTATCAGAGTCGGGGTTCGCTTGTTGCTAGCCACCCATATGAGATCGAAGGTTTGTCTTATATTATCACATGCCTGTCATGTGGGGATGAACCCGACTTGGTCAGGTGAATTAGTTTCATGAGGAATGGGTTTTAATCGCTCAGCTAGGATTTTGGTGAACAGTTTTATGCCCATGTTTAGTAGCGATATTGGGCAAAAGTGTCCGGTCTAAGTGTGTTTTGCCAGCTTCAGGAGAAAGCATGTATTCGCCTGCAACAGGTTGTGTGGAAGGGAGTTCCCTTCTAGGAGGGAGTTAAAGAGCTTGGTCAGGAGAGGAGTCAAAATGGCTGTGTATGTTTTATAGTATAAGCCGTTAAAGCCTGTTTTGTTGGGTTTCAGGGATTTGAGAGTTTTGATTGTTTCTTCAGGGGTGATTGGGGCTGCTATCAATTTTGCGTCGTCTGGGGAGAGAGCTGGAAGGTTGACAGAGGTTAAGTATTGGTTGATGAAGGTTGCGATCGCGTTGGCTTCCCAACGCGCTGAGGGATTGTGATTGTACAGTGCGGTGTAATAATGTTGGAATGTGTCAGCGATTTGGTTCGGGTGTTCATGTATTTGTCCGTTCGGGCCTTGGATTCTGTCTATCAGTTTTTTGGATGTCTTTTGTTGTAGTCTCCTGGCTAGGAGTGTGTCAGCTTTATTGTAGTGCTTTTGCGGAGTGGCGGAACATAAAGTCTTTGATGTTGTTTTGGCACTAAGTTATTTGAGAGTTAAGTTTTGTTTAAATTTAGTCTCTAGGGAGCGCGATTCTTGGAGGTTTTGTGATGGAACCTATGCATGTGTATAAGACGGATGGCATGAGAGAGGGGGAGACCAGGAAGATATCTATCCTTGAGTGGGATTGGTGGTGGTGGGAGAATGAGGTGTAGTCTTTGGCAGTGGGGTGTTGTATTCTCCAGGCGTCCAGTGTTTTGGTGGCTAAGGAGTGTAGCATTCAGTCCGCCTTAATGGTAGGGGGGGATGCGGCCTCCTGTTTTGGGGCATTGTCTGTCGATGGGGGGTGAGAGAGTGGCATTGTAGTCGCCTCCTACTGTTTGGTGGTGCGAAGGAAAGAGTACTAGATGTGCTTGGAATGACTACCAGAATGTGGCACATGGTGTGTTGAGTGCATACAATGAGGTGAATGCATATATTTGTGGTCATGCGTGTCCTGTGATATACCTGCCTTGCGGGTCTGTTACCGGCTGTTTGACACTCAGAGGGCAAGTTTTATGTAGGAGGATCGCTACTCCATTCTGGGTTCCCATTGGGGAATTTGCTAAATAATATTTGTTGTAATGTCGGTTCAGGAGAGGGAATGGTTTGTTTTGAGCGAAGTGGGTCTCCTGTAGTAGGATGATGTCTGCTCATGTTCTGTTTACCAAATGTAAGATTTGGTGTCACTCGGATGGATTATTTAAGCCTTTGCAATTGATGGATATGCATTTGATAGTGTTGGGCATGTCGGCAAGGGAGGCGATAGTGGACTTGTCTACTTAAATGGAGGGGGGGTCAGAGATTGTCTGCGATGGTGAAGGGGGAGAGGGGTTGAGTGGTGTGGAGGAGGGAGTGGGAGGAGCAGAGGTAGAGAGAGGTTTGGGGGACAGGTGGTGGGGAGCAAATTTAAGGAAGGGTAAGTGTGTGACTTGGTCTTATGGTGTGGTTGCCAGGTTCTATGGAGGCTGAGCGCCACTGAGTTGAGGGGATTTTGGTGGGGATTGGTGCAGGGTGATTGGTAATGTAGGACGTGAGGGGAGTATAGGGATATGTCTAGGAAGTGGAGCGGTTTTGTGCAAGTCCACGAGAGTCCCCGTGTGTCCCTTGGACGTCTTTAATGGGTACCTTCAGCGTATGGATGCGCATCAGCGTAAGGCTTGGGGTGGTGTTACTTGTCCTGTCCTGGAGTCGAGTGAACTTCCGGGCACGTGGGTGGTGGAGCATGACCGGGCGTGGTTGAGAGCAGGGTGGAGAAAACAGACATATAGGAACAGAAGCATAACAATGTATACAATTACATCAAATGATATTGTCTCCTGTAGCGTTTAACAATTAGATATGATGTGCAAAATACTTGACAATTGTAAAGTTGCTAATACCTTCGCTACTGTCTGTCCCCTCCCTCCCAACCCCTGTGCGTATCAAGTTCAAAAAAGTCCCCAGAACTCTGGTCATGCTGGATAATCTTGGCATGCAATATAGATGGTAGTAAGCCTTATGTGGAATTTTACTGAGAAGGTAGTATCCTCCCATGTTGTGTTAATTGGCCAGTGAGTAGTTGGAATGGTGAGTGCGATGGTGCAGAGTTGTTGGCCCGTGCCAATTGTGTCCAGCCTGCCCGGCTGTCCGGTTCGTAATTTGTGTAGTGTCATATGGATTGAGTGGTGTTGTGTATAGACCCCTGTCGCGGTGCATATATTTGTGTTTGTGGGATGTGCATGTGAGTTAGCGTGAGAGTGTATCACATACCAGCAGACTAGGTACTATACCTGATGCATGGATCCCAAGCGTAGTAGGGGAGTGAGACTAGGTGGAGTGTATTGTTTTAATTCAGAGAGGTTATCATACATAGAACCTGAACCGGGTCAGTCGATGACACTGTTGTTCCGTTGGATAGTCCATGGTTCAGTAAGGGCTTTGCTTCAAATGGAAGGCAGGTGTGGGGTGCCCTGCGTTGGAGGGAGTTTCTTTTGTGGCATCTGGTGCAGGGATAGCAGTCCTTCCTTGCGCTTGACATTATGGTCAGGTTG